TAACAAGACTCTCTAGGAAGCAGAAAAGCGCCAGCGGAGGATGGCATTCCAGCTGAGGTTCCCAAATGTGGGAAGGCTAGCCTGCTACCACATCTTCATCAACTCCTAGTATGCTGCTGGCAGGAAGGTCAAGTACCCCAAGACATGCGTAATGCTAACATTATCACTCTCAACAAGGACACGGGCAACTGCAACGACTATAGGGGCATCTCTGTCCTCAGAGTCACAGGCAAGGCTTTTACCAGAGTCATCTTGAAACGCTTGCAACAACTTGCTGACCATGTCTACCTGGAATCACAGTGTGGATTCAGAGCAGGGAGATCAACAGTGGACATGATATTCTCTGTATACCAACTACAAGAAAAACGCAGAGAACAAAATAAGCCACTGTATGTAGCATTTGTCAACCTGATGAAAGCCTTCACAATGTCAGCAGAACAGGTTTGTTCAAGGTCCTGGTAAAGATTGGATGCCCTGCAAGATGACTCAACATGATACACTCCTTCCATGAAAACATGCAGTCCACAGTTCAGTTTGATGGATCAACTTCTGACAGGGTGAGATAAAGAATGGAGGGAAGCAGGGTTGTGTTCTGGCACCTACACTCTTTAGGATATTTTCTATGCTGCTGCACTATGCTTTTGATTGACTTGGAGAAAGGCATATACCTTCAGACAAGATCAGATGGCAAACTCTACAATCCATTATGTCTAATGTCAAAGACAAAAGTGAGGTGCATACTTATTTGTTGATAGCACTGCACTCAGTGCCCATGAAGAAGGTCAACTACAAATACTCATGAATTGCCTCTCCGATGCTTTCAGGATGTTTGCCCTGACCAGCTGCTTCAAGAAGACTCTGGTCCTACAATAGTCACTATCAGCCTTGACAACACACTTCCTGAGACAGTGAACAAATTCTACTACCTTGGATCCACAGTGAGTGACAACCTGTCCCTGGATGAAGAGCTAATTGTACACATTGGAAAGGCCGGTACCACTTTCAGTAAGCTCTCCAAATGAGTCCGGAACAATACAAAACTCACAATCAAAACTAAACTGCTTGTGTACAAAGTCTGCATCCTCAATGTCCTTATGTATAGCAGTGAGACACAGTCAACCTATGCATATCAAAAAAAGAAGCTGAATAGCTTTCACCTATGCTGTTTATGTTGTATCCTTGACATCAAGTGGTAAGATAGCATCACCAACACAGAGGTCATCATCACCAAAGCCACCATCACTGCACTACTCAAACAGCGGTGCCTATGCTGGCTTGGCCATCTGTGGAGGATGGAAGATGGGCGCATCCTGAAGGACATCCTGTATAGGCAAATTGCAGGTGGGAAGAGAAGAGTAGAGCACCCAAAAATTGTGCTTCAAAGATGACTACAAGCAGGATATGAAGGTTTTTGGAATCAACCCAAACCTTTGGGAGGCCTTAGCTGGAGACAGGACAAAGTGGCACTCCCTTTTCAATTATGGAGTTCCACGTCACAACGAGAAATGGTCACTCGAATTACAACAGAAACATGACTGAAGGAAACAGCCTGTCAGTACAGTAGCCCTAATGCCATGGCTACTGTACACTTGGGACCCTGTGGCAGGACCTACAAATCTAACATTGATTTCTATAGTCACAAGAGAAAATGCACCACCAGTCAGTAGAATAGCTGCAATATCCACCATTACTCACTGATAAATGGATGCCATAACTATAATGCTTCTTTAAACCCAAGTAACCTGTTGAGATCTATTTAGTTGGGCTTTTGACATAAGGTAAGACTATAAGAAACAGTTTTTTATTCATTGTTGATGCTTCCACAACCCTGCATTTGTACTCATAAGCTTGTTATTTTGCACAATGTCATATTTAAAAAATTGGTAGAAATATTAAGCTTTTAAACTAGTTTCAGATCTTTGAGTAAAATAATAGCTGATATGTTTAATACAAATGTTATGAAAGGAAATATCAGATTGACTGGCTTTTCTCATATAACTGTCCACATTCAGATTACTTGGTCATTTTGTGATGCACTCCTTCAAGTCCCCCTTTATTTACCATATTTACTCGAATCCAAGGTGACTTCAGATTTAAGACGACCCCTGGATAATTAGATTGTACACATGGAAAAAATACATATTTGTTATAATTGTATATGTATAGAATCTAATAATTGGGAGAGCATCTTAAATTCATCCCCTCTTCTCCACCTCAGAAACAGGGAAAGCAGTGGGCGAGAGGCAAGCAGTGGGACTGGGTCAGAGCTGGAGTTGGGGCCAGAGGTGCCACCACTGGTGCTGCTGCTCCCAGAGTGGGCAGGGGCAGAACCAGCATGTGCTCTGTGTCCTGGGCTGGAGCCATGATGGGGGCAGGTAGTTGTGGGGATGGGGTAGGGGCAGAGGTGGTGTGGGGCAGGTGAAGAAAGATGGCAGCTACAGCTCAGCACAGGTCAGGGTTACTCAAATCCAATACAAAGGGGCTTTTCCCATCCATGTTGAATGGGGGAAAACAACTCTCCTCTTGGATTTGAGTAACCCTCAGTAAGTAATAAGGTAATCAATTTTTGTAGCTAGATGATGAGTGACTGTTTTGCCTGTAATGGGGAGAATATACTCAGGAGAATATCTTTCTGTTTTCTGTATTTTAAAATAGCTCTTTTTGATCAGTACTACTTTTCAGATTTTGTGCCCCAATCCTGTGCAGTATTTTTCAGCTCGTGTATGTGAGGTTGAAGAATTCCAGCACCTTGTAAGTTCAGGTCCCTTAGACACTGCTTGAAAAATAGAGCAGATCTTAGCCAGCAGTAACAGCTGAATTTATGAGTTTAAATAACTCCCCAGCTGGCTGTGACTCTCTTCCTTTTGTTTTTTAGGAACAGACAAACAGACAGTATAGAAATAAATATCTAGAAAAGAAGTGAGAAAAGAGGTACTTTAGGAAGACATTACAGCTTTGTTAAAATACTTATTAGATGTTCCAATACAATGTTCATTTCCATGGAAGGGAGGAATGAAAATGACTTGAAAAACTGTAACATATTTACTAGCATTTTATAAATTTCAACTGAAGTTATCAGTTTAGAGCCATAAGGGTCACTTACATGTAACTACAAATTTTACTGGCTGACAACCTACTGAAATTAACTGGCAAGGTAGCTGTGGATGAAGTCCGAGGGTTAATTTTAAAAAATGAAATTGAAAATTGCCAATGAAATAAATTAAAAATTGTTTAAATTTTGAAGAGGGAAATTATTGAGCCATATTAAGTGAATGGTTCATTAGCCTAATAGTCAAAGGATTCTGCTACTGACCTGCTCTGTAATCGCAAGTATCTCTGCCTGTTTCCCTCTAATCTTAGTCTATTTTATCTTTTTAGAGTGTAGGCTCTCCAGGGTGGGAAGTCTCTCGTAGTATGTGAGAGAACATTACCTAGCATGATGGGGCCTCTTAGCAGGACTGTAGTACAGATAATACTAAAAGGGATTTCTGTTTATTTCATTTTTAAAAATCCTTTTAGTTTAAAAATATATTTAAAGATTAAGTGTAAATTTGAAGAAATTACACTATGTTATACCTAAGAAAAAGGTGTATTTCTTGCTTTAGATATAAAAATTCATCTATAATTTGAGAGTTACAACCTGCACCTCCACAATTAATTGCACAACACCCTTCAAGAAACACTTTGAGTAGGTTGCTGTACTTCTCTAGATGGCAAGCTTCTGGAGATTTGCAGATAGCCAACACAGCCATACACTTCCAAATATCTAAAACCTTCCTTAACTGTAGACTAAAGAGGAGACCTCTTAATATCCTTGTCACTTTGTTGTCTTGGTGTAATTCCCCCATTTTTTTCAGATGTATTTAAAAAAAAATTATCTGAATATAACTTTCTGTAGACTCCTACTGACATATGTTCACACTGGATTACACTGACTAGACTGTTGACCCTTAAAGATGCAGTATTTACACAGGCAGTAGTCCCTTTGACTTACTATATTAACATGCTTAGTGCTGCCTGTGGCAGATGAGTCCCTGCCGCAAGGTTCTTTAAATATAATTCATCAAGACAAAACTTTCTTGCACAGTTTGCCTGCAGAAGTCTTGCAGGATCATGACCTTGAACATTATTTATTTCTTTAAAAATAAAGCTTGTAAATTAGAAGGTATTGGTTTCTAATGAAACAAGTTTATTGAAAGAAAGGAATGATCAAGCATTAACGTTACAGCTCTGCTCTAATCATGTACACAATGTAAATGTGTTTTTTTGCACTTATCTTTTTGTTTATTTATTGTTTAAAGAAAATGAAGCTAAGCAGGAACATTCACCTCTTGCCTGTAAGGAAGTTGATATGCTCTTTCCAGTGTTTTAATCTTCGTGACCATGGATGCTTCGGAGTTGCTGAATCGTAGAGCAGGCCAGGAATGCACCCAGTACATCAGATTTCCCTTCTTGGCATTGTTTACACTAACTGTTGAATCTTAAGAACCAGATCAGTGTTGCATCTGTGCTCATATTAAAATGTACACCATATATAGAGAAAATTAATTGTACAGAAATTATCTAACCTCATGCATAATGTTTCCAAACAAGTGTGTAATGATGGTCTATTTGCCAGATTTTGCTCCTAAAAATGGATGAATGAAGCAGATAACAGTCTTTAAATATGATGCAGTTTTATACTGTAAATTGTGACCAACAAATCTACTGTGGCTTCTTTATTAACATGCCTCTTTTAATGGTTTTTGTGTTTTATATGTGACATTTTAATTCAGATTTGTTTTTGTGAGGATTTTAAGTTCAAATTTTAGATCTGCAAAGGAAAATTTGGATGTGTACCAAGTGATTTGTTCTAAGTTTTTTTCCCCATTTTATTTCATTACAAGTCCCATTTTCCAGGAGTTTATAACTTGACATACCCATGTCTTGGCACAAAAGCAAATATATAACTGTGTTTTAAAAATGAAAAAAAAATATTGCCGAGCTTAATATTTTTTTTCTTGATCTGTTTTAACTTTATAGAAGGACTTATATCTCATGGAAAACTTTGGTAAAACATGTTGGAAACCATTGTTCTTAAATGTCTTTTATTCTCTAGATTATTTTCTTCTCTTTTGAACTCTTATAGAAGTATTTATATGGAAACAAATTTTTTAAACTTTAAGAATGTGTCTATTCCTGTTTCTTTTTCCCCTCACCTAAAATTATAATCCTTTTATGTGCTATGTCATAATCCTCTCCGTGTCAAATAATTATGAAGTTAAAGTAAATTCTCCAATTTAGGAAGGTGTTTAAGCATGGTTTAAATCAGGGGTAGGCAACACTCAGCACACGTGCCAGTTACTGGCATGTGAAGACATTTTCCTCGGCATGCCAGGAGTTGTGCCGAGGAAATTGTTTTAAAAAAAAAAATGTTTTTAAGTTGCTGCTCCTGGCTCTTTCAAGAGACTCAGGAGGAGATGCTGCCTGATGAGCCCTCGGGAGGAGCTATTAGGGTGGGGGAACCCTTTCTGCAGCTCTTACTGTACCATCATCAGAGGGGCAGGCTTCCCCCACCATACCTGGCGGTGGTTGCTGCAGCTCTGCCCAGCATGCCCTGATGCATCCTCCCACATGCTGCCTGGGGGATGTACCTGCATGTGGAATAGTAAAGGGTGGGGAGTGGAAGAGGGGCTGCCAGCTCCACCATGCCAGCCGCAGCCATGGCTGGGGGGCAGGGGGAAGCATCACCATCTCCCCGGCTCCTTGCAGCTGCTACATCTGCTTCAGATCACTTGGTAGAGGACAGCCCAAAGTGAGAGCAGTGGGGCCAGGATTGTGCTGCCCCCACTCCCCTCCTTTCCCAGCCTATTGTGCAGCCTCCTTCTTGTTGCAGCACAGCTGTAGCCCTGGGGCAGGGGGCCCAGCCTGGCCCTGCACAGTAACCCCCCGCCCCAGGGAGGAGGCATCTGGCTGATGAGCAGGCTCCAAGCCAGGGCCATGGCAGGCCACACTGCAGCCCAGGAGCCAGCTCCTTGGGGAGGCACAGAGGCTGCGGTGGGCCTGGGGCATTGTCAGGTTGGTCTTTGTCCTGCGGCCCAGCAACCTGGCTGCATGCATGTGTGGGTGTCTTTGGTTGTGCGTGTGTGCATGTGCACATGTTTGGTTCTGTGTGTGCACGTGTGGTTGTGTGTGTCTGTGTGTGTGCATGCACATCTGTGTGTCTGGTTCTGTGCATTTGTCTGCACATATGTGTCTAGTTTTTGTGTGTCTGTGCATGCATGCACACACGTCTGGTTCTGGGCATGTGTGTATTGGGTTCTATGTGCGTGTTTCCTTGCATGTATCTGGTTCTCTCTGTCTCTCTCGCTTCTCTCCTTTTTTTCTCTTTCCAGTCCTTTTTTATCTTTTCTCTCTCTTCTCTTTTTCTCTTCTTTCTTTCTCTTTTTTCCCCCTCTGTTGTCACCACATGCTTAATAAAAAAAGAATACACAACAACCAAGGTAGTATATATTGTATTTATTCTTACCAGGTTTAGAATTTTTAGAAAACCTGATATTAAGTGTTAAAAAAAGCAATGTTTATGATTATTAACTATATCAATATGCAGCATGTCTTGCCATGTAACCCTCCTCCCTCCCTCTCCCTCCCCACCACTAGTTTTATTTTTCTGGCATGCCGGCACTCCGGCACCTTACAAGGTAGACATTGTGGTTTTTTCAGCACTGGCCAAAAACATTGCTTTACCCCTGGTCTAAATGGAAGTGTGTATGTAGTTAGTGGTTTCAATTGTAGTGTTCATGTGTTTCAAATTAAGGATATTGTTAATTGGCTTCCTGAACTGCTTCCAGAGTTGTTTCTTGTGAAAGTAAGAAGTTGAGCCAAGCATCTGTTTAAGAGCAAAGACTCTTCCAACAGCTATCCCCTCTAGGAGTAAAGAGAAAGTTAACAGAAATATTTTTCTAAAAGTATTTCTGGGATTGTACAGTATCCACGAGCCATCAGTGGAACACTAAAAGCTACCTTTCTGTCAAATTTTAGCCTATTGTGTGTGGTAAGTGGATTACCTAGCCTCCTTGCTTCAGCAGGTGATCTTTGCTCCCTGAGAAGCTCCTCCCAAATCATACAGTCTTCAAGCAAAAAGCAAGCAAACAAATAAAACAAAACACTTGTGTCCTGGGCAGTAGAAGAAGCGCCCTTTAGCTCTGGCTTCTGGCACAGCAGCTTCGCCCTTCTTGTAGTAAGGAGTTGTGCTCATGGCTTACTTTCTTTCCCCCTGCTTACTCTTCTGGGAGTTTTTTAAAGCCCTTTGCAGGATACTCCCTACCTAGCCAAATACCCTGTAGCTGAGCTTTCAGATGCTACAGAATGTACATAATTTTTTTAAATAAAAAAAGCAGTGCACAACTCAGCAAAGACTTGTAAAAAACAGAAATATATGTATGAAAATCACGCTATTATTAATATTTGCATTCTGTTCTAACCTTCTAAATATATATTTATATTTAAATACATGCATTTGAGAAGATATATGTATGCAAGGAAGGTGTGGCAGGAACAGGCCCCCGGGGTGGCCGTGATGCCCTCTAGTGGGTAAGCAATTCCTACCCCATTCCATGTTCTCACAGTATCCTCCCTTTTCTACCTCTCCTGCCATGCCTTGATGTAACTTACAATACTAAAGGAGGTTGCCCCAGGTTCCCAAAGTGTGCCTCAGTCACTCTGCTGTCTATTGTCCATGTACCTGGCTGGCACCAGTCACTCCCCACTGGTGATAACTTGTGCCCTTCCTGGCCCTATCTGTGTCTTAGGGCACAAACCTGCCTTAGAGGTGATAATCGTGGCCTTTGTCCTCCCCTATAGCCTTGCCCATGCTTCAGAGATATCACTCTTCAGCGGCCTGTACAGGCTTCAGCCCTCTTCGCTTTAGCTTGCTGATTGCTCTAGCTGTAGACTTCCAGCCTAGAGTCACTTTATCTGACCTGGCGTCTGAGCCTCTTATTTGTTGTGCCTCAGTCTCTCAGGGCACAGGCTCTAGCCCTCTCAGCTCTGTCCTGTCAATGTTTCTTACTTTCAGGGCATAGCCTCTGGCTTGCCCGTCTTACTCCCACTCTCCTTTGCCCCTCCCATGCTGGATCCTGCCTGCTAGGCTGTGGAGGTGTCTCCTGCCCATGCCAGTCCAGCCAGGCTGCAGCTCCATACCCACATAATTAGAAAGCTGCTCTACTCCAGGAAAATCTTTCCACAAGATATGCAGTGTTTGGAAGGTATAATGAAATGATGCTTCTCCTGTGGTTGATGACGGAACATTTAGAATGATGAAGACAGTGGAATCTGATCAGGAAAAGTGTGCAGGAAACACAACTGTGAATCTGTTGGGTGTGAGGAAGCATCTGAGGCAAGGTAATAGTAATTGGGTGAGAAAATGCAGCATCTGATTCCAAATTAACAAGCAGTAAATATCTGAATGAATGGAGAAAAATATGGGGAGATCAGTTGCAATGGAAAATGACATGTTTACTTCTGTTTACAGTTACTGTTGGAGGTACCTTGGTGTTCTGTTGTATTGGGGATCAATGATTGAAGAGACTGTAAGTCAGGTGCATATTAGGACAATAGTCAAAAAGAATTCTGGAAGCATTATGGTCTCAAAAACATAGATACAAATACATTGCTGAGGAGAAAATACTCGGGTAAGGAGTGTTCTGTTTTTGAAAAAAAAATGGCAAAAGATTCTTTAATGCCCTGAATCAGCAAACCACTCAACCATATGCTGAAGTCCTTCTTACTTCAGCAAAGCACTCTACATACACTTGAACTCCCACTAAGGTCAATGAAAATTCATAGATTTCCATGTGAATTGAATCGGAGCCTTAAGCACTTGCTTTACTTCAGTGGAACCTGAGCATTTTTCTTAAGTGTTTTGCTAAATTGTGATAAAAGAATGGGAAGTGAAAACAAGAGTGAAAGAAAAAAAGGCTGAAATCTTAGTCCCTGTCTCTCAATCGCCATGCACACCTCAGTATAACTCACATACAACAATGGCCTTCATTATAACCCCTAACCAGGAAACCAGACATAGCAAAACTAAACCCACATGTCTACACCAATTCTCCAACCTTAGATTTGTCTTCCATTTTCCCACCTAGAAAAAAAGTTAAGCGTAGAATATATTCTACATTATGATATGAAGGTCATAAGGTTTGAGCTATGCTGGATCCAGGAAAAAGAAGAATCCAAACTCACAGAGCCCTTACAGAGAATATCCACCTGACAGTCTATTCTCATTTAAGTCAATAGTACTTTAGCCTGAGAATTTCCACTAAGCTCAACTCAGGCACTGGGACTTAAAGGGAGAAGTGGTCTGCTAGGCAAATAAATTCTAAGCTGCATTATTTAGCTAATAATATGAAAACATGACTTTAAACAGTTAATAGATGGATTAATTAGATACTGAACATTTGTGATATGATCGATAACCAGTTCTAAGCAAGACATTGATCTATTTTTTTTTAAAATGGATTCTTTAAAGCATTCTTCCCAAATTAAAGTGTTAGCCAGTAACTGTGAAATAATTGAAGTGAATCAAATTAATATATTCCAAGTCATAAGGGTAGAATGTATTCATAAACAAATGGCAGGGATCAGATTTGTTTATAAACATGGAGCAATCACACCATAGCACAAAAGTATCCAGTATATCCACAGAGTCCAGAATATTCAGTTTGTCACCAGGCATGGAATCACTCCATTAGATGCACAATGGACATGGAATTGTGGGCCTAATTTATATATGTAAGTTTTAAATATTCAAATAACTACTGTAGATAGTTTGTTTACATGTTGCCTGATTGTGCAGTAATTTTACGTGCAAATATGCAATGTCTTTTACATATGGAATTGTGCACCGTATTTGTGCAGTCCTTGGATTGCTTAATTTAAAAGCAATCAGGCTTTTTTAATTAAGCAGTACTTCAGTTTGGCCCCTATACTTTGAACAAGGACATAACCCTGCTTGACTCTGCTTCAAATCTTAAAAGTGTCAGCCATTGATTTATTATAGTTAACTGTTCCCCACATTTCATCATGGAAAGAGTGGATTATGCTGAGGAGTTTTGGTGGACAGCCAATCTGTTCCAATAATTGGAAGAGGCCTTTTCTGCTGAAAAGGTCAAAGGCTTTAGTCAGGTCAATGAAGGTGATGTAGAGGGGTCTCCTTTGTTCCCTACATTTTTCTTGGGTTTGTTGGAGTGAGAAGATCACATATATGGTGGATTTACTAGTTCTGAATCTGCATTGTGACTCAGGGTAAACAAGGTCAGCAGGGATTTAAAGTCTTAAATCTTTTATATTCAAGTCAAATATACAGGTTATTTTAATTTTTTTTCCTTGAAAAATTTAAGATTTATTTAACCTGTGGAGTCTTGGGGAAAACAAAAATAATATGAAACAATGTCTAATGGATCTATTAGCAAACCTTAGGCTCATGCTAAAGACAGAAGGGTTTGGTTTTTTTTACTTCTTACTTTTTTGTATGGAGAATTTTGATCAGAAATGCAGAGTCTTGATTCCTTAATAAGCTGTCCTAATTATGGTTATCGTTATTATTGTTATTCTCATGACAGATTAAGGATTTGGCAGACTGAATCTGTGTGTTCTGAGCTGAAGTACACATTGGATTGTTTTCATTCTTGATGATGATACTAGAGAAACAACCAGTACCAGCAGCATTCCTGGTTTTGCAGCACCAAGCAAGTATGTTGTGGAATTTGTTTTCTTCTTAGAGAAGTGGCAGAATTAGAGGAATTTATTTACAAGAACCTAGCACTATATGGCCTAGTTTAAACTGGTTCTGTTTAACATAGTAATTTCATTTTGGATAGAGGCTTAAGCAGTGATGCAAAATTAAGTTTTAGGTTTAACAGGCAACCAAGGCAGCTCAGTGCCACAGTTTAAGATAGACTTCGTTTTCAGTGGTAGAATTATTTGGAAAAAAAATACTTATTCAAATCTATTTCTATCCTCCTGGACTTATTTTGAGAGCTAGTACAAGTTAATGGTACAACTCAGTTTACTCTTAATAGAAAATTAGTACTTTGCTGATTTAGTACTTGCTGATTTCATAATATCGCTCACAGAAGCACGTTGCATATAAAATATTTGAATTTCATTTTTATATTTTGATAATTAATAATTCAGTTCAAAGGCAGACATCCTCAGGAAGAGAGGGGCATTTAAAATTTGCTGGGTTCATGTTTGAAAGGTACTCATGGATTCTTTATTTAGTATGCACTGTGCATTCTTCATACTTTTCTGAAGTGTGTGTTCTGCTCTACAGAGTAAGAAGTCTAATGGAAAAACATTTTCAGATAGTTTTAGTTTAAAATGGGAAGTTTTCATAGATTTCATAGACATTAGGGCTGGAAGGGACCTCGGAAGATCATCAAGTCCAGCCCCCCACCCGAAGGGCAGGAAGTCAGCTGGGGTCATAGGATCCCAGCAAGATAAGCATCCAATTTGCTCTTGAAGGTGTTCAATGTAGGTGCTTGAACCACCTCCGATGGCAGGCTGTTCCAGACCTTGGGGGCT